CTGTCCCACTAGGAATGCTGAGGTCTATCCCTATGATTTTGAATCTGTCCTCATAAAAATTACAGAGAGGTGCTGGAAGTTGGCTGTTTATCCATGGAAATGCTCCAGGAATGTGTCTGGTGCAGGAGCTGGAGAGGTGGCACAGCTGGAGCCAGGGCTTGGAGAACTGCCTGAAAATCCCAGCTCCAGGTTTTATAGGGATGATGGATGGAGCTGGAGTTTTAGGAGAGCAGGAGGAGTATTTTCCCAAATCCCAAGGCCAAATTATCCCGTGTGCACTGATGGGACCTCCATCAGCATCATTCCAAGTTCTGAGGGATTCCCAGGAACCCTTCGGTCCAACTTAATCAAACATCTGCCTGTTGGGTGATCTTTAAGGTCCAACCCAAACAATTCCATGATTTCTTTTCCATGGAGAAGGAAGGTGACAGCAGGGGAAGAGCTCTGGGGCTTGGGCAGCTCAACCAGCCCATCAGCTCCATGTCGATATTCCCCAAAATCATCCAGAGTGAGCTGATTTTTTAATCATGATGAACATCCGAGATAAATAAACAACCCCATAATAATTTCAGGCTCCATTAGGAATAAGGGATAAACCTCAGGGTTTGCCAAGTGGAAAATAACAATCTTGATAAGGGGAAAAAAAAATTAAAATTAATTTTCAACAGCACAAAATGAATTTGGCAGCAGAAAAAGCCACACAGAGTTTAAAGAAATTCCAGAGGAAGGACTTTTGTTAATAAATTACTTCAGATGAGGTTATCCAGCTCTTTTACTCCAGGCTTGTTTGTTGTTATGTCTAAAAGCATGGAATTAGGAGTCATGGAATCAGGATATTCTACCCCACTTCCCAAAAGTGCCAAATCCCTGCCAAACAGGTCAATGCTTGGGCTGGGAACATGAGGGGGCCCCAGCAGCTTCTCCCTCTGATTTATGAGCAGCTGCTTCCCTGGCTTCCCTAATTCCAAATGCACTCGGAGCAGGGATGTTCCGGGGGAGGGGGTTTATTATAATTAAACTCTCTGCTTGTGGCCAAGGGTGCTGGGAGAATTAGTCCCGATAAAACAGGAACAAATCTGCCCAGCTTGTGGTAAAAAACCATCTCCACACCACAGAGGGGCTCCACTGAAGTCTGGAGATGTGTGGGCAGCTCCCATTTAATGCCATGTCCCAGCTTTTTTTTCCAATTACCTTGGACAAAGCTGTAATTGAGATCTGGAATTAAAATCAAACAGGATGGAGGAGATTTAGCTGAGAAGGCCGGTCAGGAATTTATTAAAAACTTCCCATCACACACAGGATCCTGTCCATCCCGCATGGATCCCTCTGGCTACGGCACTGAAGTGAGAACAGTCATTCCCTCTTCAATCCAGCTCTGCTCAGGTATTCCAGAAGAAAAGAAAGCACTTTTGCAAGACTTTTTCCCATTTTCCAAGGAAAACGGGAAAGAGCTCTGCTGGAGATGCTGCTCCTCCCCACAGGCCCAGATCCGTATCCCACGAGGGCTCCTGGAGCTCCAGGTCTGTAGGAACAACTCGATTTTCCTGCTGCGCTTCTTATTTAATCAGTATCTAAACTCTGATCACCTTGGCTGCATATTAAAAATGCCATTCCAGTGAATTTCCACTGGGACGGGATTCCTGGGAATTGCATCCCGCCCTGCAGAGCAGGACTGGCTCCACACGGAGCGAGCGCTGCTCAGGCTCGTTAGGCCAGGCTCGTTAGGCCAGGCTCGTTAGGCCAGGCCCAGCATGGCATGGGCAGAGCTGAGCCACCTCAGCTCCAGCTTGGATCCAGGATAAATCCAGGAGCTTTGGGATGGCAGGGAGCCCATGCTAATGAACCCCCCTTGGATGAGTGCAGCACCATTTTCCCTGCTCTACCAGAGAGCCACAATTCCAATTTGGATGGGCAGTTTCTGCACCTGTGCCTTAGAGCTAAATCCACAAAATCCGGTTGAACCAAAGGGGCTGGGTGTCAGGAGAAGGAAAAAAGGACCCCCAGTGTCCCCATCCACAGTGAAGCCACCTCCAGTGACACTCACACTGTCCCCAGGTGGAGAGCACTTGCCTCGGTCTGAATTCCAAAGAAATAAATTGGATGTGAGGGGGGAAAAACAGCTTTCCATCTCTTGTGGGAAAGCAGAAATTCTGGAGAAATGGATGACCTGCTAAAAATATCCCGTGGCAGCAAATTGTGCCTTGTCTGTGTTTGTGTCCCAGCTGCAGGAACGAGGCCTGAAGGCAAATGCTCCCGTTGGGATGGAACGAAGCTATGATAATTAGGAATTATAATTGGATATATTCTATATATTTTTATATATATATGAAATTATATATAATTATGAGCCTTTCCCCCAGTTGTGTGCGAGATTGTTGAGCATTAAAACCTTGGAACGTGGATTGTGGCTCCAGGAGGATCCCACGATGGTGCCAAACCACCGGCACCCACCAGAACAGCAGGGAAAAATCCCTGCTTTTCCTCCCTGCCACCTCTCAGCCCAGGGACAGAATTTCAGATGGGTTTTTTTTGGGAGCTAAATGGCTCATTTCCACCTACGGATCCAGGCGCTCATTGCAGGAAGTTGTTTGGATATTCCTGCTGGAAATGCTCGCCCAACAGCACATTTGATAATCATCCACGGGCCCGTAGCTCGGTACACCCCTGCCCATCTGCCGGCGTGGCAGCGTGCCCGCTCTCCAGATGGTCCTCGTGATTCACAGGGGCAGAGGTGCCAAAAAAAAAGATGGATTTAGATGACACCGTTAGTGCCACCTTCTCCCGCCTCCCCTCGGCGGTGACAGCTCCGACAAATCAGCGCTGCGGCGACAAAGATTCACTCCTAATAAAAAGCGGGAATTAGGGATGGAAAGACCTATTAGGTCATTTACTCCAGCTCCTCGCCAGTGCCTGATCAGCACATTAATCTTCCCAAATGCGGATATCACTGTGGAAGAGGAAAAGCCAGGCTGCTCCCAGATACTGGGAGCTGCCAACAACGTGAGCGGGATTTCAGCTCGTGCCGCGGAGAACCGCGAGGGCCATATGGGGTGTCAAAATCTATTACACAAAAGTTCAGCCTCCAGGCAATCTCCGGGAGAGCAGGCCCGTGACAGACATGGAAAACGTTCCCATTGAGGGGAGGATCCAGAGGCAACGGAGGAACGGGAACACGGGACAGGCAACCAGGATAGTTTTGAATGAGCTGGGAAAAAGGAGCGCAAAAAAAATCTAGGGACATGAAAAATGGCTTGGAAAGGGCAGCCAGCTCCGTTTTCCCTCTGTTTTTTGCCATCATCCCATATGAACTCAGTTGGGTGGAGATAAAATGGCCAAAGTTGTGGGATCCATCCCCATCCCAGACTTGATGATCTTTGTGGGTCCCTTCCGACTTGGAATACTCTGTGATTCTCTTTTAAGATAAATATATCAGGGCTCCAAACATCTGCTGTGGCAAGCACAGAGCCACCCAAAGTCCTGCTTCCCAAAACACGTCCTTTCTTCCCCTTTGGATCGGGATTACTTTAGCAGTACCCATTTTAAAGCAAAAATTTCCCCAAATCTTTTCATAACTTCGCAATCTCTACCCAGCCCTGATTTCAAGTCTCTTATCAGTGCAAGGGGAGCAGAAAATTGAAGTGCAGCCCAATATCCAGGTGAATATCCAAAATTCTGCCAAAAATTTACTAAAAAAGGGGACGAAAATGGCAGAATAAAAGGAGCTTTCCCTAAATGTTGCCCTCAAACTGGGATAAAAAGTATTTAACAATTCCTTGTATGGCAAAAGATAAGGATGGGTCCTCAACCAAGCTCTTGGCTTTTCCATGAGCTGGCTGGTGGGGTTTTTTCCATTTTTCCCTCTTTTCTTGATTTCCTTATCAATCCCTAAAGTCATGTAAATACCACAGAGATAAGGCAGCCATTCCATGTGTTTTCCATGATTTTTCCCTCTTTCCTTCCACGTTTGCAGGAGCTGTAATCAGAAATTCACCAAATGAAGTGGATCCTCAAGATTTCCCGAAATCCCTTGAATTTCTCCATCATTTGTTCCATATTGTGCCTGGGATGGGAATGATCCCCCTGATTCCTGGTAGGTGAGGAAACAAATGGAGATCTGATGATTTTCCACTCAACTTTGCAGTAATAATCCATAGCAGCATTGAAAAAGTGAGGCTGTCCTGCTGTTTTATTTTTTTTTCTGGAATTTATTCCGGGCAGAGGGTTAAAAGAGCACTGATTTAATTTTTTTTAAAAGAACTTCTTTGGGAAAGGCTGTGGGAAGACTTTGGAAAAGGGCAATGAGAAGTAGGGACACGTTTTGAGGTATTTAAAGTGCTGCCAAATATTTCGTTAAAGCAAAAAGAAAATTCCAAAAGTGGCAGATTAGAAGGAGTTCTGCCTAAATGTGGCCCTGGAGTTGAGATAAAGGGAGTTGATGAATTTAGGGAAGGACGCAGAAAGATTTTTGGAAAGGGATAGCTGGTCTTTCATGCCATAATTAGCCAAAAAATCCTGCATAAAAATATCCATGAATTACACAGTTAGGAAGAAGTTGTTTTTACTGGGCTGCTGTTTTTTTCCTCCTCACTTAAGGGAAGAGGAGAAATTCCTTGGTTTGCTCCAAATAAATCCCCATTAAAATGAGCAACCGAGAGGCCACGGCTCCCCGCGGGCTCCCGCATCCCTGCAGCGCCCATTCCCGTTGGATGGGGCCAGGAGAGGCACCACTTAGAGAGGATAAAGGTGGCAGCATCTGGCCCGTGAAGAATTTGCTCTTCAACGCTGGGAGGGTCCCCACCACGACCCCGCGGTGAGACGGATCCCGCCAGGAAAACACCAGGATGCTTTGCTGCCCACAAGGAAAACGCAAATGCATTAAGGAAGGGAGGGAAATTGCCCTGCACCGCTGTTCCCTGGCCCGTGTTTATTCCAACCACCACCCCTGTGTCCATTTGGAAGGTGCACTGTGATTATCCCGGAGCTGCTGAAATGAGCAGCGGATGGACCGCGTGGAGTTCCTGCCGTTTCCCTTTGTTTTTGGCGGCTTTTCCCGGGAGCGGAGCTGCCTCTCAGGCAGCCAGGCGTGGGTGCTGAGTGCTCCGTGCTGAATGGGATGCTCCTCTCCTGGTCCTTTCCTATTTTTTCCGCTCTGTCACTCCTGGAAGAGCTTTGATAGGAGATGGCAGCCGGTGATCATTGACAAAAGCCGGGAAGGAGGCTGCTCATTTTGTGTCTTGGAGAAGGGAAAAAGGGAGAGGAGCAGCCTCTTTTTCCTGCTTTCATGAGCAATAAGCGGGAATATCAAAGAAAAGGATGGCAGGTTTACGAAACAGCGGCTAAGAAAGAGATTTAAGGACACAACGGAGCGTTGGTTTGGAATTGGAGAGAGTCCCTTTGGTTTCAGTGCCCTCCGGGAATTGAGGTTTACAGGAACAATTAGAATTGTGCTGAGATAAATAAAGACGGGAAAAGGGGAAATGCATCCGATTTTCCAGTGTGCAAAGTGAGCTTTTCCCAGAAAAAAAATAAAAAAAAATGACAGACTTGAATTTATGGAGAAGCAACAGCAGAAGCATTTTATCCAAGGATCTGAGATGCTTTCCTTACTTCTCCAAAATGCAGTCATATCAGAGTAGAGATTTTTGGGATGACCACGGACACTCAGCCCCTTTGCATCATTCCGGAGGCTGTTCCTATGAATACTTTCTTCCCTATATTTTCCTTTCTTTTGCCTCCTCTTCCTAGTCTAAATCTGCCTTCCCTATGGCAGGATCCAGTGGAATCAAAGATTTTTAAGTTGGAAAGCAGCTCCCAACACCCTCAGTGTGAGTGGATGCAGGGAATATTCCATAATCCAAGGCTGACACCAGTGGGATGATTAAAAGAGTTTTGTCCCTTGATCCTCACCTTCAGCAAATACATGGGATGGAAGATACTTGGAGGTTTTTCCAATCTTAATGGTTCTGTAATTCCATGCTCTCCAATCTCTCCTGGAATGAATCCCCAGGTTCACCAACCTCTCTATGAGAAATCCAGTCCCTTTTAACCAGTTCCTGGAGATGACAGAGGTTTGGGACCAGGCACCCCAAACTCCCCAGGGAATGAAGCATTTCCTGCTGCTGGCCAAAATATTGGATGGGCTTTGCCTTTTGGAGGTGAAAAGAACACCCAGGATACCTGGAAGTGGCATTTCAGGTGGGCACCTGGATTAGCAGGATAAATCCTCCCCTTTTCACCCCTCTCCTGCCTATTCCCTAACAAAAAAAAACAGGACAAAGGGATGTACCGGCTTTAAAATTCCATTTTGCTTCTGCAAATTCCATTTTTGCCAAACAAGCTCAGTTTTGTTTCCAAGCTGTGCTTTTCCTGCTGATCACGAGGTACAGAAATCAAGGAGAAGAGCGTGAAATGAACTTGAGTTGTTTAAAAGAGCTTGATTGATATGAAGGAAAAGCATTTCCCCTTGAATTCACCGCGTGGAGGGAGCTTTTTGAAATCCACACTCCTCATCAGGAAAACAAGGAATTATGTGCTCATTGAAGCCAGATCCAAAGTCTGGGAAATTACTAAAGTTAGAAAAATGCAAATGTTGGATTAGTCTGGAAGCCTGGAATTAAGTTTCATTAACCCTGACATTTCTGCACATCCATTGTGCACCTTCCCAGTTTATTTCCATGGCTAACTGGGAGCCAAATCCAGCTCAGCCTGTTGGCTCCGTGGGAAAAGGAGGGATGACGAAGGACGACACGGATCATGCCCCACATGCCAGGGACTTCCAGGGGCAGTGCCACCTTCCTGAGCTTCCCAGGGCTTTTCCAGCCCTCCTGAGCCTTCTGCATCCAAGGGGAGATGGATGGCGGGTGTGGTGTCCTGTTAGGAATGTGCCAGGGGATGCCACCCTTCCGCTGGCACCGCTGCATCCGAGGCAGGCTGTCCCTGCACGGCTGGGCTGACTCAGGCAGGGTGCTGAGATAAAGCCAGATGGCAGCAGCTTTTCCATTCAGGACTCCTGAGTCACAGCCCACTCCCTGGATCCTTGATTGAGGATGCTTCATCCCAGTTTTTTGTTTAGCATGGAAGAGTTTTGCTGAGGAATCCACCCCCGGAGCAGCCTCATACGGTGTTTCTTCCAAGATCTCCTCCCTCATCATCATCATCATCATCATCATCATCATCAACACAGCTCTGGGCTGAAATTCCATGTGTTAGGATCAGCTATCCCAAAACCGAACATCATCGGGATTGCCCAAGCTTGGTTCTCACCAATTTCCATGAGAGAAGAATGATTAAAAACCAGGATTCAATCAGCTGGAAAAAGCCAGGATATTATCATTTCTACCAGGGAATCATCATGCCAGGGATGTAAGAGCCACAGGCTTCCATGAAGGATGAATCCACAGCCAGAGCTGTTGGAAACGTTAGGAAAATTAAAGGCTTCTTGCTGTTAAGTTTCATTTAAAGGAACTTGAAATTCCCAGGAAGAGCAGCCGGGAGCTGCAGAAAGCCTCGTTAAGTGATTTCCAGGGCTGTTTGTTATTTTACCTTTGTTTACACGACATTTACGGCGGGGTTTAGATGGAACAACAGCTCCTTGGATCCGTTTATAAACCCTCCCTTTTCCAAGGAAAGGAGTTAAGGATTGAAAATGTGAGGGAAAAGGGCTTTATCCTGGAACCTGGAGTAGTTACAAACCCAAATAAACCCGGCACCTTCCCGTTGGAAATCCAGGATGGCCCAGCGGGGAGGAATTGGCTGTAACTCATCCCAATTCCGCAGGGTGACCCTTCCAAACGCGCTGCACTTTGCATTTCTTGCCCTTTTTTACCCAGCCCCTCTCTGCTTTGCTTTTAAGATGATAAAAACCATGATTAACTGAGGGGAAGCTTGCAGAGAATTTAAATCCTCCACGAGCACCTTTACACTGCTAAACTGCTGGGAAAAAAAAAACCCAACCCCAAAAAAGCCTCTTTTATGTGCTGGATGAAAACACAGAGCAGCGAAGTACAGAGGAGGAAATAAAAAATAAAAAAAAAACACGGGAAAAAAAGCCCTCAGATAAAATTTTAATCATATTTGCAGTAAATCAAGAGCAGTTCTGGGTTGCTCTGAACTTTGTCCCCTTGGGTTTGTTTCAGAATGAAGGCATCACATGAGAATCCCTTTCATAATGACGTTATTTTTGCTGGGTTTAGAAGAAAAGGATACAAAAATCAGGGGAAAACGGGAATGTGTGGCTCACAAAATTAAATACATGTGGGAAGCATAAAAGAACCGGCCTGAAGAGTGAATTGTGGGCTCAAGGATTCCCATAATTGCACAGACCCCAATCATCCCCATCCAAACCCAGACCGGATTTGATCCAGGATTATTTAGGATTTTATGGGTTATTCCAACCATCACAAGCCAGGTCATTAACAGGGAAAACAGAACCAACACTTTCCCAGCAAATTGCTCCATTGTCAGCTCATTTATGAGGCTGAAAGGTGATTTTTTAGCTCCAGCCTCCCAAATCCACCACCAATATTTACAAAGGGAAGATGAAAGAAGTTCAGCCACTCAGCACAGAAGGCGACATTTTTGAGAAGTGACTTAACTGCAAACATTTTCCTTTTAGGAGCTACTTTGGGAGACACCTTAAAGGGATTTGTTTTCCGAATGTGTCGGGTGTTTAATTTCCAAATTAACTTTTCATGGCCTCAGCGCTCCAAGTGATGAGTCACTTGTCAAACCTTGGCCCACGCTGCCAAGTGACTCAGGGAAAAATCTGCCTGAGGATGTTCGGAAAAAAGGGAAGGAAAAGAGTGGAGGAGGTGGCCAAGATCTAAAGGATGAGTGGCCTTTTCCAGGCCAGGGAGGAGCAGACAGGGATTTTGGGGAGGGGAATGTGTTTCCATCCTCTGCTGGGGTCCTTTGTCCACCCACAACCCGCACAGCCAGGAATTCCTTCCCAATATCCCACCCAAATCTCCACTTTCCCAGTGGGAGCCATTCCCTGGCTCCTGTCCCTCCATCCCTTGTCCCCAGTCCCTCTCCAGCTCTCCTGGAGCCCCTTCAGGCCCTGCAAGGGGCTCTGAGCTCTCCCTGGATCCTTCCCTTCTCCAGGGGAACATTCCCAGCTCTCCCTGGATCCTTTCCTTCTCCAGGGGAACATTCCCAGCTCTCCCTGGATCCTTCCCTTCTCCAGGGGAACATTCCCAGCTCTCCCTGGATCCTTCCCTTCTCCAGGGGAACATTCCCAGCTCTCCCTGCATCCTTCCCTT